TTATTAGGAGGTTGACCATCACAATGAGCGGAGGTCGCGGGTGCCAGTTTTTGACGGTGGTATGCTGCAATTGTGACTTCCACTCGATATGGCCCAAAACTCAAAAATTACCTCGGCTGCTGTCCGTAAGGATTTGGTACCACTCCAGGAATATAACCGATGTGTGGCGGGGCCATAGCTGGCGGTCCAGGAGGAAACGGGGTCGTGTTCGGAGGATAAGGCGCATAGGGATTTGACACAAACGGCATAGCTCCTGGTGGACCTAGAATATCATTCTTCAAAAACTACACTACAGTGGCTTACATCGGGCGATGTACAAGTTATACCGAGAATTAGGCTTTCTTCGTGAGTGAAAAACTTTCGAGACTTTTTGTCTCGATAGTTATTAGTATTTTATCTACCAAATGCAAAACAATTCTGACAATGTCAAATTACTCCAAAGCGCCACTTCCCTACCCTTCAGGGCCAAGTGCGCGCACACGGACTGCTCTCGCCGACAGTTTCAACGTTTACTGCGAAAAATCACGGCGCTTCTCTTCGAAATTTACAAGCGATACGAAGAACAGCTAGTGCACAGATAGAAAAGAAAAATCGCAAAGTTCCGCTTGATCATTTCAAAATCTGCATATTCGGGATAAAAAAATGGATCTGACGCGACCAAATTTGTTTAAAAAAAAAGATTCTCCAAATTGCTCAAGACGCGAAGCGTATGTACTCGTTTCGAATCCGACATTTCTAGAGCATAACTCTAGTCAAGCAGAAATATTTCGTATATAATGTATTGAGTGATTAAAAACAACCATACAAAAAAATTGCAAGAGAAACAAAAACAACACTTGCTGGAAAGAGAGGTGGAAAAGTCTTATAAAAAGCACATTTGCTTCAATTGTGCAAACCGTGTGACCTAAAAGTTTGCGATGAGGTTTTAGCTTCGAAAAGTGTACGCATCGCTGAGCCTATGCACAGTTTTCCAAAACATTTTCCAGCTACCAGCTTTCTGGTTCGGCCCACACTAGAGCAGTAACAGTGAAGTGAGGGGGACTCATTTTTGCAACAACCACACATTTTCCGCACATTTC